TCCCCATCAGCATCATCATCATCATCATCATCATCATCATCATGATCATGATCATGATCATGATCATGATCATGACCATGATCATCATCATCAGCATCATCAGCATCATCATCATCAGCAGCAGCATCATCATCATCGTCATCATCATCACCATCATCAGTTTCATCATCATCAGCATCAACATCTGCATCATCATCAGCATCAGCATCATCATCATCAGCATCATCATCATCATCATCATCATCTTCATCATCATCATCATCAAGATCAGCAGCAGCATCATCATCAGCATCACCAGCATCCGCATCATCATCAGCATCAGCATCATCATCATCATCAGCATCATCATCGGCATCAGCATCATTAGCATCATCAGCGTCACCAGCATCATCATCGTCATCACCAGCATCATCATCAGCATAATCATGTTCATCGTCATCATCAGCAGCATCATCACCAGCATCGCCATCGCCATCGCCATCGTCATCATCATCATCATCATCATCATCATCATCATCATCATCAGCATCGTCATCGTCATCATCATCATCATCATCATCATCAGCAGCAGCATCATCATAGTCATCATCATCACCATCGTCAACATCATCATCAGCATCAGCATCAGCGTCATCCCTGTCAGTCTCATCATCCTCATCCTCTTCATGGTCCTCCTTCCCCGCATCCTCAGCATCCTCCTCGTATTCTTAGTTTTCTTCATATGCGGCTGCTTAGTATTCGTCATTATCGTAGGATTACTATTCATATCACTATTATAATTATGATTATGGTTGCGTTTCGTACCATACGGATTAATAATACAAGTCTTATGAATAGGCTGCTTATTCTTCTTAGTAGCAACATTAGTACTGTTCGTCTGCATCGCTTCCTCATTATTGATCCTTCTCCTCCTCCTCCTCCTCATCCTCCATCTCCATCTCCTCCTCCTCGTCCTCCTCCTCCTCCTCTATGTCCTCCTCCTCGTCCCCCCACCGTCCTCCTCCTCCTCCTCCTCCTCCTCCTCCTCCTCCTCCATCTCATCTCCATCTCCTCCTCCATCTCCTCCTCTTCCTCCCCCACCTCCTCCACATCCTCCTCCTCCTCGTCGCCTCCTCGTCGTCCTCCTCGTCCTCCTTGTTCCCCCTTCTCCTTCTCCTCGTCCTTCTCCTCCTCGTCCTCCGCGTCCTCCTCGTCCTCCTCGTCCTCCCCGTGCTTCTCGTCACCTCGTGCTCCTCGTCCGCCTTATCCTCTTTGTCCTCCTCGTCCTCCTCGTTCTCCTCGTCCTCCGCCTCCTCCTCCCTCATCCTCCTCCTCTTCTTCGTCTTCTTCCCCTCCTACTCCTCCTCCTCCTCCTCCTCCTCCGCTCCTCCTCCAGCTCCTCCATCTCCTCCTCTCTCCTCCTCTTCCTCTCCTCCCCCTCCTCCTCCTCCACCTCCACCTCATCATCATCCTCCTCCTCGTCCTCGTCGTCCCCCTCGTCCTGCCTGTCCTCCTCGTTCTCCTCGTCCTCTTCGTCCTCCTGCTTGTCCTCCTCGTTATCCTCGTCCTCTTCGTCCTCCTCGTCCTCCTCGTCTTCCTCGTCCTCCTCGTGCTCGTCGTCCTCCTCGTGCTCCTCGTCCTCCGCGTCCTCTTTGTCCTCGTTGTCCTCTTCGTCCTCTTCGTCCTCCTCGTCCTCCTCCTTCTCTTCCTCCTCCTCCTCGTCCTCCTCGTCCTCTTTCTCCTCCCTCTTCCTCGCCCGCTCACTCCTGTTCCCCCTCGTCCACGCTTGCCCCCCCCCCCCCCTCTGGCGGCACCCCCCACCTGGCTGGGCAGACGCCCCCAGCTGCAAGGGCGGGGCCTGGACGGCCATCTCCATCGCTGCAGCCCCTTTGCAGATTGCTCAAGGTGGGATGATGAAGGCGATGAAAAGAATGATGCTGATGAAGATGAGGAGGATGATGAGGCTGATGGTGGTGGTAACGAAAATATTAACGATGCGGATGATGATGATGATGCTGATGATGATGATGATGGTGAGAATGGTGGTAATGATACTTTGGTTGCGAATGATGATGATGTTGTGGGGATGATGACGACGATGATCCCGCCCCCAAGAGGGAATCGGAGCCAAAACGCTCACGCCCACCATTTCTCTCCGGCGTCTGCTGTGTCACCGATGCCCGCGCTACTTTCGCACGCGCGCCAGTGGCAGGCCCCTCTGACAGGGACCTCCTGTGCCCACATGCGCCGCCGTGCACCTAGACTTTGCCAGGCAGCCGAAGAACAGTGCCCCCCCCCCCCCCCCCCCACGCGCCCGGGGGCGCGCTGCGCCAGTCAGGACAAGGCACGTGTACGCATGATAACGTGCACACATCACAATACGAAGGCAAGGAGCATGAAAGGGCGAATGCTGAAGCCCGCACGGCTCTTGCTTCACTGCGCCCGCCGCGGTTCCGAAGCAATTTCATAGGGTGTTCAGCCTCCCGGCGTGCGGCCTCGACCTCGCTGCACTCCATCTCGGCGTCCAGCATCGAGCCATCGTCCGCTGACCTCAACGTCTCGAAGGTCACCATCCGGAGGCCCTCCACGCGGATGAAGTTGGCGACCGCCACCTCCCAGCGGCGCTCTGGGGGGGCCGCTGGCAGCTCCCCGACCGCCGCCTCCAAGCGCGCTCAGAGGTCGAACTTGACCGTGTTCAAGGGGGGCGGCACGTCGCCGTCGCTCTCAGGGTCGGCCGCGACCTTGGCATCGACGCTGGGCTCGTCCTCGTCGCACTGCCCCACGTCCTGCGCCCCGTCGTGCTCGTTGTTGTGCTCCACGTAATCGCCGCCATCGAATGCGCCCCGAGTCCCAGACTGGGCCTCGGCGCCGAGCGAGGGGAAATGAGGCACTGCTGGCATGGAAGGGGGGTCTGCGCTCGCCCCCGCCTCGCGGTGACCCTCGGCCTCCAGCACCACTGCGGGGCCCCGCGCGTCGCAGTGCGCACCCACCTGGCCGATGCTCCCGCGGACCATGCCGTTCTCGACCTCGGCGCCCTGCACGCTGAACTCGTCCTCGCCGTGCAGCCCCGGGTCTTGCGCCAGGTCGAGCCCCCCGTGGCGTTCCACGTCCAGGTCGCTGCTAGGCGTGACCGCCAGGTCGCTGCGTGCCGCCAACGACGCGCCCTTCTTGGGCAGGCCGCAGCGCCGCCGCGGGGGCCGTCTCTAGCGGCCACGGCACCGCGGCCGAGTGGAGCGCCACGATCTTCCGCAGCGTGTCGACGGGCGACGCGGCCTCAAGGTGGACCATGTCGTGCAAAGGAGGGGTCCGCAATGGAGGGGTCCCCGAGCGCCGCCGCCAGTTTCTCGTATCTGCCTCTCCAGAACTTGACCGCCCTCTGCAGGTCGTGGACGAGCACGTCCCCCGACGAGCGTGCCCAAGCCTGCCTTGCACGTCTGCGCTACCACCGCGCCGCACTCGGGCCCAGCGCGCCGCCACCAACGTCCTCCCGCGAGGAGGCCGCCGCCCGCGCCCGCCCAAACCGCGGCAGCCGCCGAGGGCCGCTAGCACACTGGCTTGAGCCAAAGGGCTACGGATGACGACGACGATGATGTTGATGATGGTGATGCTGGTAATGATGATGATGATGATGCTGATGATGATGATGGTTATGGTGATGTTGGTGGTGTTGATGAAGATGGTGATGCGGACGGTGACGACGATAATGATGATGATGATGATGAGGAGGGAAAATTAGGATGCTGATGATGACAATGGTGGGGGTGATGGTGATGAGACCGATGGTAGTGATGATATGCACTGATGATGATGACTGTGATGGTGATGATGACGGTGAGGATGCTGATGGCGATGGCGAAGATGAGGATGCGGATGATGATGCGGATGCTGATGGTGATGCTGATGAGCGGTGATGATGAAAATGTTGATGATGATGGTGATGATGATGACTATGATGACATTGTTGTTCGTGCCATTGATGCTGATGATGACGGTAATCATGATGCTGCTGGAGATGATGAAGCTGATGAACCTGATGATGACGATGGCGATGGCGATGATGATGTTGATGATGTTGATGATGCTGCTGCTGATCATGATCCTGATGATGATGTTGATGTTGCTGCTGATGATGATGATGATGATGATGATGATGATGATGATGATGATGGTGATGATGAGAGAACGTGATCCACCGCCGCTGTACTGTGAAAAATTCCCCCCTTTTCCTCTAGAGCCCGGGGTTCCACCCCCTCCGACCCCCCCCCCCTGCTGCAACCTGCCCCCCCCACCCCCCGGCAAAGCCCTCCCCCACCATAACCCCTCCCCCCCCCCTTGAAAACCGGAAAAGTCACTACCGGTTCGAACCCCCCAACCCCCCCCTCCAGAAAACAGGGGGGGTCACTACCAGTTCGACCCCCCCCCTCTAGAAAACCGAGGGAGGTCACTACCGGTTCGAACTCCCCCCCCCCTCCCCCCCCCCTCCAGAAACCTGTCGCCACTGTCCCCATTGTCCCCACCACTGTTCCACCGCGGTCCCACTCCCCCCACTTTCCCCACGGTCCCAACCACTGCCCCACCGTCCCCATTGTCCCACTGTGCCCGCCGCTGTCACACTGAGCTGTCCCACTGTTCCCACCACTGTCCCCACTGTCCCAGCCA